ATATATATTTTAAATGGGCCTATCGCCTTATTGTTGTACTTTATGGCCTATCGAGCTGGAGAAAATAAACCTTTTTTTTCCCTTGGGGGTACCCATCACCAGGCCCTTTTCATCACTGCATTTTTACAGAAAACAAAAGCTTTGTTTTCTCACACAAAAAAGGTACCCAGAAAGTCACTTAACCGATGTGTGTAGTTAATGCCTGGTACTTGAGATTTTATGTGAAAGGATCTAAATAGAAGCAAGGGAATGAGAATGGTTTCTGAAAATCCATTTCAGTCTTGGGATTCCATGGCACACAGTGAGAAAAACTGACCTACCATCTCCCTTTCCTTCCATTGTTTTCCTAAATCCCCAGCTTTTTTTTTTCAGTTTCTATAACCTAAAGCTTTATACAGTCATTGTTTGAATCTTGATCTGGCTGTGATCTTGGGCAAGTTATTACATGTTTTTTGGCCTCAGTTTTCTTACCTTAAGATGCTGAGTATGTACCTCATGGGGCTGGAATGAATATTTCATTCCATCTTATGCATGTAGAACATGCATAAATCTTATGCATGTAGAACACTGAGTTCAGTGCCTGGCACACAGGTGCTTCATAGAGTCCAGCTACTTTTGTTATTAATATTGCTTATTGATAGTTATATTAAAATTTCTCTGAAGCCATGTGCAGGCTTATCATTTCCCGGGTAACGCTGTTCCCTCCAGCTGGGCTTTGCAAATGGATATGTGAATAAGAACATTTTGTTTTTACTCTCTTGGCCTCCTAGGAGTTTTTAAAGGGTGACCTTAAAAGCAACTGTAGCTAGCTACTTTATTTTTAATTCAGATGTTTGTAAAAACAAGCATTCCTGTTTTAATTGTGTATTAGGTATACTGGTTAGTGAAAATCTGGAGGAAAAAAGCGTAAAAGCTTCTCCTAGAATTTTTTTTTCCTTGAGCCAATAAAATATTACTCCAATAAAATAGCTACAGTTCTCTTGGCCTGTATTGAAAGGGATGATTCTGGTGAACATTTGTTTCAGTTCAAGTTGAGTTTTGCTCTGCTTTGTTTTTTCAGTGACAGGGAAGGATAATCTGGCACTGAGCTCTCAGCTGTCCCATAAATATCGCCATTAATTTTTTTCAGAATATGAATTTTATTAAAATATATAAGGTGTCCCCAAAAATGTATACACACACTTTGAATAATTATAAAGGCAGTGTTTATTAAAATACATTTCATTTTCAAAATTGAGTTTTCAGCTGTTAAACTATGTGTACATTTTTTGGGAAACCCTATATACGTAAATCAGGAAGATACAACTGTGGGAACATAATTTTGATTTTGTTTTCATCATATGGTTAAGGGTTGCTATGACAGAGATGTTCCACGAAGTATTCAACATTTAGTGAGAGTTCTCTGTGTTTTAGGCAGTATGTGCAGGAGAAATAGAGATGTACAAGAAACAGATTTCGTTTTCCAAAAGTCACATACTGTGCTCTCGTGGGACTAAGCATTAGCAAATGTGTTTTTCTCCCAGTGGCTTGTGGGCCAAAGATTAAATGGACCTCACTCATGTTCTTTTCTCTCAATTTCTTGGAGAAGGCTAATTATATAGATCTCTTTATAGTGGTCATCATTTTGAGGTGGATTAACTCTTTCAGGATTAAATCCTGCCATGCACTCAAATGCCATGAAAGGAGATAATGGCTGTAAAAGTACTTGGTGAGTTGCAAACTGATAGGATAGAATGATATTACTGTGTGATATTACTGTTGCACTTATAAAGTACCAAGAAACAGTACAGCATGGTAAGTTAGACTATAACCGTGGTTCTTAATGTGGAGGAGGAGTGATTTTGCCCCCCACCACCAGAGGACAGTTGCCAATGTCTGGAGACATGTTTTATTGTCACAGCTGGAGGGGGGAAAGGATGTTACTGGCATCTTATGGGTAGAGGCTAAGGATCTTCTGATGCACAGGGCAACCCTTTACAACAAAGGATTATCCAATCAATCCCAAATGTCAATAGTGCTGAGAAACCCTAGACTAGAGCATGGGATCTAGAGTAGGGATCAACCTGCATTAGCATCGTAGCACCACCAGTTATTACATGCACAACCCTGGGTGAGTTCCTTAAACCTGAGAATCTATACAGTGCATATTCTGAACAGATATTGTGGAATTAAACGAGGTACTTAGCACACAAAAGGCATACAGTCAATGGTAACTCTTGGTGTTATTATGTTTGGTTAGTAAATCCAGGGACTATGTGCCTCACACAGACCCAGCTTTGTTTTGTTTTTTAACCAGTTGTGTACAGAAACAATACAGGTTGCTTGATCCCATCCATGTGTCCAAGAAAAGGGCAGGGACATACACTGACAGCCTCCAGCATTTGTGGTACCTTCTGTATTCTGGCCCAGGTTTTGCCCTGGTTCTGTAGGCTGCAGATCACTCCAACCAGGTAAACAGGACAGTCCCTCAGACCTCTCCTCTGTAGAGCAAAGATGAACTGAAGATGGAGGAGCTTTCTGTTTCATCTGGGCTACACCCCAGGTGTGAAGCCCCCTTCGACTGAACTTATCACCACCCTCTACTGAAACCCCTGTCTGTGCATGGTCGGAGCAGGCAAGGCGATCTGACAGTTTCCCTTTACTTTCCCTTAGCCCCTCCTGCTCAAACATAAAGTTTTTGTAGGGGCCCTTCTCTCTTTGCAGAGTCCTCCAAATCCGTTCCAGATTTTGCTGTGCAGGGAGTTACCCAGCCATCTGGGAGGAGAAAGGGGGCCTCCCATAACGCCCAGGCTCCACTTTGATCTTCTTTCCTTTCTCTGTTTTCCAGGAGCACACTGAAGCCACATGAGTAAGTAATCCACTCACAGTTACCAGTAGAGCTTCAGCAGGGTGGGAGTGGGGCGGCATCCCCAGGAGCAGAGAGTGTTTAGCAGACAGGGATGTAAGTAATTTACCCCGTGGTGTTGTAGCTGTAAGCTAGATGGAAACCACTGGTTCTGTGGTGCTCAGTCCTGGCTGTGCAATAGAGTCATCTGGGGCTGTCTAAGAATTGCCCAGTCCCCACTCCAAACCACTGATTCAGAATCTCAGTGGGTAGGGCTGGGGCATCAGATTTTGTTGTTGTTCTTTGAAAGTCTTTAATTTTGTTAAATCTTTGTTCGTCTTTAAAGTAAAAAGTTAAAATAAAAAATAATAATTATGTGGGTTACATAGAGGTGAAATGGAGTATCCTGGAAAGAGAAGAATTAGATACAAGTAGTTTAAACAAAACTATCAGTAGTATTTTGCTAATTGCCTTTTAAATGTTAATAATATCTACCTCAAAAAGGGGCACTGCTTTCATTACCAAAGTCAACATTCATGCTTCTCAGATTATTCTGATGCCCAGTAAGAGTTGACGGTCAGGACTATGCCTTGTGAGATGAATGACCTACATTTAAAAAGAAAAAAGAAAAAAAAAAGAGAAATTAAAAATATCAAAGTAACAGTATTATTTTGTTAAGCTTTTGTTTTAGTGATCAATGTATGCCTGTTTGCAATGTAAAATATGTTTCTTCTAATGGGTTACGGTAAAAAGAAGTCAGAAAGCCCGGCCGGGCGTGGCTCAACGGTTGAGTGTTGACCTGGGATCCAGGCGATCGGGGTTTGATTCCCGGTCTGGGCACATGCCCNCGTTGACCTGGGATCTAGGCGATCGGGGTTTGATTCCCGGTCTGGGCACATGCCCGGGTTGTGGGCTCGATCAATGACTCTCTTCTCATCATTGATGTTTCTATCTCTCTCTCTCCCTCTCCTTTCCTCTCTCTGAAATCAATAAAGATATATTTAAAAAAAAAAAGTCAAAAAAACATTGTTTTAGAGCCTTAGATGTATTTAATGAATATTGACAAATTTACCTCTTGGGATATTTCTATGCGGGCATCTGCAATACAACTTCTGCATCTATCCTGTGAGGCGTAGAGAGGAGGGAGCATCATACTGATTTTTTTACAGATGAATGGAACTTGGAGTTGAAGAGGGTAAGAAGTTTGTCCAAGTCACATTGAGAAAATGTCAAAAACATGGACCCAAACCCAGGGCTTCTGACTAGTGCCACAGGGCTCTGTCCACAGACCCTGTGTAAAGGAACTGCAAGTAGACTATGAGTCTGGCTTGAACACTGCAAAAATAATTACTGATGGACCACTTACTAGTGTCAGGAAATATATTTATATTACCTCACTTAACTCTCAGAACAGCTCAAGGATATTACTGTTGTTAGCCCCTTTTCACAGATGAGGAAACTGAGGTGCAGAGAGGTAGTGACTCGCCCAAGGAGCAGAGTTCTGACAGCAAGGCCACATTCTGTATTTGTGCTCTCTGCTGCCCCAGTACTAGTTTGTTGGCATTTCTCTAAATTCTAGACTCCTGTCTCTAGGGACAGTTTAAATACCAGGGAAATGGTCCTGTGTCTTAGTCAACTCAGGCTGCCATAACACCACCACAGACTGGGTACCTTGAACAACAGAAATGTATTTCCCACAGCTCTGGAGGTTGGGAAATACAAGATAAAGGTGCCAGTAGGTTTAGGTCCTGGGAGGGCCCTCTTCCTGGTTTGTAGACAGCCACTTTCTTTTTTTTCTTTCCTTCTAAAAGAATTACTTAATTTATTGATTTAGAGAAAGAGAGAAACATTGATTTGTTCCACTTATTTGTGCATTCATTGGTTGTTTCTTGTCTGTGCCTTGATTGGGAATTGAAACCGAAACCTTGGTGTATGGGGACAACACTCTAGCCAACTGAGCGACCCAGTCAGGGCCAAGGGCCACCTTCTTGCTGTGTCCTCATGTGGCAGAGAGACAAAGAGACAGACATTGGGCACTGAGTGAAGGCCCTAGAGGGCAAAGAAGTTAGCTCTCTGTCCCTTTTTTCCTACTGTACACATCCTGGGGCCCCACCCTAATGACCTCATCGAAACTTAATTACTTCCCTAAGGCCCTAGATTCAAATACCATCGCACTGGGGATTAGGGCTTCAACATAAGCATTGGAGAGGGGTGGAGGTGCAAACATTCTGTTCATAACACTCTGGTACCTGTAACTTCCATTCACCTTTCCTTATATGTGTGGGGCTAGAAACCCTCACCCCGACCCACCCAATAATTAAGGGAGGAAAGCCCTCTCTGTTGCCCAGACCTACCTTCTGGACACTTGTTTAGGTTGTTTGTGATACTTATTGGCGTGAGTTACTGAAATTCATGCTGTGGCTTGGATAGTCCTGGCTGGGGAGGAACCTGAACACTGACCCTTGTGGAGTGAGATCTTGATGGGCTTCTCAGTGGTCTGAGAACCAAAGGATATCTTGTTTGTTCATTTGACCATTCATTCATTCACTCACTCATTCATCCATCCATCCTTTCATCCATCCATTCATCAAATATTAAGGGCCAGGGTCTATTCTATATACTGAGGATAGGAAGTTGGGCAAAAATGCAATCCCTACCCTTATCGAGGTTATGGTTTACAGGTAAGTTTTAGATGTCACCCTCCAATTCAAAGATAAACAGGAGAAGGTATTTATCATGGCTTTTAAATACTTGTGTGCAGTGCCAAAGCAAAGCTCAGGCCACATGTCAATAGGAGGAGGACACTGGTTACCTACTCAGAAAGTTGGAGTGAAAGAATTAGACTTCACGTTGCCACACATGATGTTTAGAAAGCACAGTTCTCCAAAGGTTGGGAACTGCTCTCTGCTGTAGTAAGTCAGCTGGGTTGGATAATCAGGTTGCGTTAAGCCTGGGGCTTCAGGAGGACTTTTCTTCCTTGCCTGTCTGGGAGGGTACAAACTTCCAAGCTGTCCAGATAACTAGTAACTGTCCCTATTTTCTTATATGAGGAGGATTCGCTACTGTATCAGAGTGCTGTTTGTCAAATGAGTGAATCAGTAATAATTATGGTGAATGTTAGTATATAATAGAGGTAATGGTAAACATCAGGATTTCAAGATGAGTCCACCCAGAGAAGAACCAAGGCTAGCTCTCCCCCTTTTCCAGGCTGAGCCTGTTCCTGACTGTAACCAATCCCCAGTTCGTAGGACTATAAGAATTTGAAGATCAGAGGTAGGGTTATTGGTTTAAGAGGTTTTTTGTTGGTCCTGAGATACAGATAGCATTAAGGGCAATGACATTTATCCTTCTAGGGTGATATAGTCCAAGATTAAGAAGAGCAAAATAGAAAAAAACAGAAAATTTGTTGCTTTTCATCAGTAGCTTAAAACTATGTATTTTCCCTATTGGCTGCTCTTTGGAGTCTAAGAGAACACCCAAGGTTCAGTATAAGTCTATAGTCAAGAAACTGGATGAAGGCTACACTTACCCAAACCAGTTGAAAATGGAATTAAAGTACACTTACTGTGTCCAACATTGCCTGTAGATCATACTTATATGAGAAATGAAACTTTTTGCTGGTGAAAACTATTGTCTCATTTTCATTTTAGGCTCATTCTAAAGAGAATTGGTAAAGTTGTATAAAATATGGAAGGAAAGGGAAGATGATATAAAATCAGCATTAGAGTGTAATGGCTCTTGAATTAGAAAATTCCGCATGGTATATTTTAACTCTGTCCACATAATTCATTCCAGGAGTCCCATCTTAGCTTTTCTATTCCTGCACTTAGGCAAGATAAAGACATTAATATTATTCTCGGGTTGCCAGGAATCCTGAGCACTTTCAAAAATGGAATTAGTCAGTTTCTTGCTTGGCTAATCCTGAGGTTGGAATTGGCTGCAGTTCTCGAATGTCACCCAGACAGACAGGTTCAGGTAAATCTCCAAAAATGACATTGAAACTGGACAGCATTTCAGGAAGTTGGAAACTGATTCATCAAATCTCAGTTTGGTGCAGAGGTTCAGGTTAGTTCATAAAGTGCTGTAGGTATTTCTTGGATCAAATGGCCTTTTCTCTTTCTCTTTAAATCATCCTATGTGATGACTAAAGTCTTCGCTAATGGAGTTCCGGCTTTATTATTTATACCTGTTTCATCCATCGATCTTCTCAACAACATATATACAGTGGATATTCAGCAAGTGTTTCACAGTAGTAAAAGAATGACCTTGCTAAAATAGAATTCGGCCATATTTTTCTCATGACTTTTTAAAATAATTTTTTAAATATAAAAGATACTGTCATAAGACATTTATGGAAGGAGAAGAGGGAACCACATAGGAGAGTACATGCAGGTATTGATGACAGTAACATAGTTATCTATACATCAGCTCTGTGAAGAAGATTGAATACATTTGCATTAAAATTTTTTCACATGAAAGAAAAGAATGTTAAACCATTTATAATTATGTGTCTAGGATATGTCTCATGACCTGAAGAACCACTCTGTCTAAATATGTAACCAAATTCCAAAGGAGGTAATTATAATACATCCATTTGTACGTGAAGGCGTACAGAGATGTAACATTGCTGCTATTTATTGAGCAATGACTATGTGTCAGGCATTGTGCAGTGCACTCTGTTTACATTCTCTCTAATCCCTGAAACAACCTTAGGGGGGAGATATTCCAATTTACCCAGGAGAAAACAAAGATAAAGTGGCCAGCCCAAGGCCATTACAGTTAGTGTCATGGCTGGGATTAGAGATTCTTTGTCTTTGAGAGGCCATGGGGCAGATGATGTTGAATTTCGTTCTCACAAGGTGCATATCTAGCCTGGAGTGGTCCAGGGTGGGATTTCCTGTCCCTCCATCTCATTATCTTGTCTACGTGATTCCAGAAGCCAGGAGTTTGTGGGGCTGACTCTGGATTTATATATGTGGCTCCCTGGACCTATTGAAGGCATAGACTGCGGTGGCAGGGCAGGG